AATATAAATTATAGAACATTTTTTTCCTTTACACTAATCATTTTCTTTTTTTATTTTTTCTTAGAATATGCCGATCGAAGAGCAGCATGTCGATCGCCTACTGTTACGGCGGCCACCCACCAGTGTCCACCACCGTAACTCAACTGCACATATACTTGAGAAGTTGAGCCCCACATGGCCATACCCCTGTCCCATAGTCGTCCCTCACAGCCCTGCCTTATCCCTTCTACTACACGCACCACAAACCCCACCCAAGGTAACCCACACGTTCTGCAACTTCTGCCCCTCTCCGGTCCCACGATCCAATTCGAGCCACTTACTCTCTACTCTCCTCAGTTGGGGAGGAGATACTGACAGTACCCAACACGAAGAAAAAACACAAAAAAGAAGCGCAAAACCACCGACGAAAGCAGAGATACGTGAAAAGCAGGAAAAAAAAATTGAAAACCCGTCTGGAAGAGAAACAAACAAAAGGAAAGAAGAGAAAGCGAAAAGGAAACGAGGATATTAAAGAGGAGAGAGGGAAAAATGAAAAAAACCCATAGCAAAATTGAATGGACAGATTTGCACCAAGACACAACGACCCTCTTCCTAACCTAGGAGAGACTAGGGTGTATCCAGGAATATTTATACTTGATATAATATTTTTAAAAATTAATAGGTAGATCAAACACTGTAATTTATACATAGATCATACACATTAAATTTTACATTCATGGAATATATATTTAATTATTTTAATATTAACACAAATTTTATATGATTAAATATATGTATATGTATATGTATACAGAGGTATAAAACTATAATAAATTATTACAAATATTTCTGTGATAAAAACAAAATAAAATGACAAATATCACGCTAATTAGCTTGAAATTTGATATGCATATTTTAGAAGATTAAAGAGATCCTATCTTATTACCAAAGTTTATTACTAAAATAATTGAAAAGGATCTCAAAGCTAGTTATACATACTCATCACATTAATTGCTAGTAGCTAGTCTCTCCAGCATTTACCAGGCCTAGAGTTATAATCTGGAGTTTAGACCGTTGGATCCATGGACGATGACTCCCAAATACCATAATCAACGCAGGTACCTAAAGTGAAAGGCTGAGGTCCAACCCTTCTTTTCCCTTCTTGTCTTTGTCCGTTCCGTCTCTAGTACTTTCAGCAAAAGCAACCAAGCCGACGGGGGCTAACTCCTTCGCCGGAGCCGGTTCGATGAAATCTTCACGTCGAAATGATGGCTCCTCCAGTTTCATCTTCTTTCCTACATCGGAAATAGTACTGCCGTTGATCGTCAGCCGCTCACGTGCCTCGCGTATGCTCTTGATGAGGGCAAAAAACTTCTCTATCTTTTCCTCTTCATTACCATCGTCTTCGTCGATCTGGGAAATATCCTTCCTCTTCTTCTTGCTGCTGCTGCTGCTGCCACCCTCCATGTGATGAGAGTTTCAGAAAGAGACTAGGGACCAGCGTGCTCTTTCTTCGTCGCTTCTACGTTATTTCGTGGGTACCCCCCACGTTGTAGAAGCGTTTTTTCTTTTCTGTTTTTACTCTCAAAAAATTGGGACGTTTCTCAAATGGGTTGCAAGTGCGACACCCATATTACATGGTCATTAGTCAAAATATGTAATTCATTTTCTGGTTGGTAGGGATGGGCTAGTTTTCTAATCAGAATCCTGAAAACGAGGTAGGTACAATGATTATAAATTTATAATAATAATATAATATTAAAAAAAAGTTAATGTTTGTCTACTTATATTTAAAAAATTATGAATTTTTTTTTAATTTATGTTTTAAAAATATAATATTTTAAATTTTTTTAATATGTAATTATTAAAATGATATAATTTTAAAATAATATTTTTTTAATCTTTAAAAATAAGACTAATAAGTATTATTTTTTATTAAAAATAAATAAAATATTATACATAATGTTTAACTAAAAAATTAATTATATAATAATATATTATTATAAAATTATAATCTCATTTAAAATTATATTTTTTTTAAAAATATTCTATTAACAATAAATTTAGTGATATAAAATTAATTTTTAATATTTTTAAATATAATTTTTATGTGTTATTAAATAAATAAATTTATTT